GGTAGTGAAGCGTAGATCACAAATTCTAAGTCTATAAAATCTCAATTATATAAACCTTGGAAGTATACCTTGCAAGATTATAGACCTATCCGTAAGGTTCTTTTAAGTTATCACATAAGTTATTTATATAGTGCCTAAAATACTCCTATAGTATTTTAATCTAATGTACTTGGTATGTTTTAAACTTGTTATCGTGTTATAGTATCCTAAAATACTCCCATAGTATCTTATCTTTATGTTCTGATCTAGAATTATCTTGAATAGAGTTAGGTAAGTTTTACGACTGTTGCAACACCACATCACTCCCAAACACATGTCGGTAACATCTCGAATGAATATAGTTGATCAGGTTATATTGATCTTAGCTATGATTACATAACTGTCCAGGTTTGACCGTAGTGTTCAACCTTTAAATACTTCTGTTCTGTTCTTGTTGTGATACTTGTTCTAGTATGTATATATGTATAAGCACGTATGTATACTTTTATAAGGTATCGTTATATATTTAAAATATATTATTATCCAAAGCACTTCGGCCCCATTGCATTTATAGTTGTATATATTTTATCGGTTGATATACTTAGTTCACTATAAACAATGCTCTGATACCAATCTGTCACACCCCAAAACCGGAACGGCAGAAACGTTCTGGGGTGGAGGACGTCATGTTTAGTATCACAAGACATGCATCATAGTAAGCAAGTAATAAACAACCATTTCATTAGAAATAAAGTGTTTACAAAGTATGCGATTCACATAATATAGAATACATAGAAAATAACAAAAAGACATGAAACTATACTGCTCCATATTCTGAATCCAAGTGCGCGTACCTGTCTACTGGTCTCCTGAGAATACAAGTTATTTTGGAAGCGTAGATCAGCATTTAAGCTGGTGAGTTCATAAGATTTTAGTGATGTAAGTAAGTTGTAAGAAAGTTGTAGTAAGTTGTAAGTTCTGTTTAGAAAAGTTCGCCTGTTCCTCCAGAAAATCCTATATTTCCTGCTTTGATGAAAGATAAGTAAAAATGACTCTACAATCCTTTCTATGAGTACTAAATGGATACAAGTTATATAAAACTCAGAGTAAACAAACAATCGGTTGTGTGTATCTTCCCTAAGCCCACAACCAAACAAGGAACAAGAAATGAGGCGGAAGACACACATCCCATTGTTTGTTAGATCATTGTTGTATATAACCCTGACGTATTCACTTGGTACTCACGGAGTTAACTGTAATAGTTCCTTTATATTTGATGAAAAGATTCTTTAAGAAAACCCTTATTTCTTATAATAAAAATGGTAACCACAGTGGTTCCTTCTATAATCACTTAGTTTATACTAGCTATATATAATCTAATATCGAACATATAGTTAATTGTATGAATCTGCCCTAAGCCCACAACCAAACAAGGAACATGGAATGAGGCGGAAAACACATATCTAACTACCTATCGGGTATTAATTATATATAACTCTGATGTATAAACTAAGGTATTATAGGATTAACCACCTAAGGTCCTTTAAGTTTATACTGGTTTAATAAAATGGATTAAACCCCCTTTACTGGTTAAGTTTCTAGTTTTGTATACCAAAAGTTCCATTTGAAAAGTATGTTTTGTACTAGAAATTGTGTATTGAATTAGTGTCCTATGACCTGACCCATACTTGGTACCCCTTATGATTACTTAGTGTATACGGGATATATATATAGCTAAGATCAGATAGATAGTAGGCTGGGTGAATCTGGTCTAAGCCCACAACCAAACAAGGAACATGAAATGAAGCGGAAAGCACACATCCTACTACCTGTCGGACACGATTACTATATATCCCTGGATGCATACACTAAGGAATCATAAAGTTAGCATTATAGGCCCCCTTTCTACTGAATGTACTAGACTCGACTGTTCTGGTTGTCATTTGTAAAATGTAAGTTTTCCCTAGTTTATAACTATCTTGACTCGAAAATAGTTTGCATTAACTTTCAAGTGGAACTGTCACAAAATGAAAGTAATGGGAAATTATAAGTACACAGTTGTACTTTGAATTGACATCCTGACATACTGATTACCTTAAAACATGTTTGTTTTATTAAGGTCATAATGTGATGGATAGTACCCATACTATACGCTCTCCCTGCAAGAGATTCTGGGGACCAAACGCGACTTCCGCAAACAGATTGCTAGGCCGTGTAAATTCACATTAAAGTTATATGATCATGTATACCCAGTTTTACTATCACCTTTTGTTTAGAACAATGAGTTAGTGATTCATTGGTATAATTAGATCCTGTAGTTGTTGTTCTTATGCTATAACATCTTAGTAGGTTCGTTATGTTATAGTATCTTAGTATGTTCTCTTTGTTATCGCATATTGTTTCTACCTCCCTGTTTCTCTTTATAGTATGTTCTAGCATTTAGTATGAACTGAACCTCTAAACTATACCCCTTATAGTTTACTAGTATTTTACTTGAACTGCTATTGAAAAGACTCATTTTTCTACTAAGTTATGATTGTACTTTAAAAATGGAGTTTTGTTAAACTATAAAGTAACATAACTTTAAAAGAGTTTTTGAAATGTTTTGATCACTTATAAAAGACATAAGCAATCTTTTGGAAGATGTTTATAACAAACAATTACACAATTTTCATTGTGTTCAACTTGTATTCCCCCCCTTAAAAGCATTTAAAACAGTTTAAAAGATTGATTACAGGGGTATGAACTCACCTTATGTGGGTGATTCAAACGAATAAGCGTGTAAGGATGAGAAGTTCCACGAATGAAGTCCCGAGACTTAACGAGTCCTAAATGACATATAATGGTATATATTGGCATAAATATAGTGTTTAGAAGCCACCAAATGCAAGGAAATACCTTTAGGGACTAGGAAATACTTTGACCAAGTGTTGGAATCACATGTGATTCATCTAAGGGGAGTGTACGGCCACTTTGAGGAGTGTACGGCCATGGGTGTGCGGCCAGGGGGTGTGCGGCCGTACACTCATGGTAATGAGTGCACAAAAGTGTTTTCCAAAGGTAGGGAGGCTTTTAGGACTAATTATCATCAAGTGTTGAAGTTAGGAATGCATTTTGAAGGCCCTTTAGGGGTGTTTTGAGGGGTGTACGACCACACATGGGTGTGCGGCCGCACACACCTTGTGTTCATGAGTTCTGGGCATTTTAAGGTGTTAATCTAGTGTTATTAACAATATCTAAGCATAGGGAAGGAGTACTTACGATCTGGAGGCTCGAGAAGGCTCAAAATCACCAAGAACAAGTGTGTGTTCTTGGTGGGATTTGAAGATCTAGCCAAAAGATGATTTCCAATGGATGAAATCAAAGGGTGTTACTAGGTTAAAAGGATTAACAACAAATCAAGGGAAGAACACTTACAATCTTGAAGATCTAGGATGAAAATCGGATGGTAGTTGAGAGAGAAGTCGAGTTCTTGGCGTGGGAGGGTGAAAAGAGTTAAAGGAAAGCTAAGTCCCACCTATATACACGAGAATGTGATGCCAGGAGAGGGGTGTGCGGCCGCACACCCAAGTGTACGGCCGTACACTCCTCATGTTGGAGTGTAAGGCTTGTTTTTAGTGCTAGAAGTGTACGCGACCCAATCCTATACTCAATGCTTGAATGTACTGAGCTTTGAACCCTTAAACAGACTCTAAACAAGGCTAACAGATAGCAGAAACGAGTCTGACACTCGGTTAAGTTGAATGGCTGGACTTTACAAGGCAAAAATTTTCGGGTTGTCACAAATGGGATAGTGGGATGCAAATCATATAGATATGTATCTATATTTATAATAAACACAAAAATAACGTTTATTATTATAACATATGGATTGATATTCCATTAAATTAGCCTAATGGTGATAGTTGAGTATATAAAACTCCTTGAATGACTATTTATTTTATTGTAAATATGTATACCATTATATAAGGAATGACATTTAATAAAAGTAACAATATTTGATAAATTATATACCCCAATGGTGTCATATCCACGATACATCCTGCATTAGTATTGTTGTCTTTATCAATGGTGTCATATGCACGATACACCTCATTCCCCTTGAACGGTTTCCATCACATTGGCTTTCTCTACGACCTCTATTAGTTTTTGCGGGATTAAACTGGTTGTTAACCACTGCTTGTTCTTCAGCTTCTTCACCTACCACCGTTAAATACAAATGCACCGTGTTCTTTGATTCAGACATTACATGTCTCAATTGAAATACATCAGTTTCATCTCCAAGCTCCATGACATACCCTAACTCCGGATGTTTAAAAGACAAACATATATGACTATTTAACACACCCGCCTTACTTCTAACCATTTGTAATAACATTTCATGGTCAATGTTAGGAGGAAGATTTAAACCATAGTTTTTCACATTATTCTAACGTAAACCTCATCTCCATTAACTAACTGTCATGACCCTCCCATACACAAAATAATAAAACTCATTTTACAAATCACTCTCCACAAACACAACGAAAAAACAACCTCTACTGGTAATTGAAACTCACAAACTCACAAAAAACCACTTAAATACGTCTATAACTTCTATAACTGATTTGCAGAGGTGTACACTGATCCTTAGAGGTGTACACAGATCCGCAGAGGTGTACACTGATCCGCAGAAAACAGTTCTGCGTATTCCCTCACAGTTATGCAGAGGTGTACACTGATCCGCAGAAAATAGTTCTACAACTAAGCTTCAGAGTTGTACACAGATCCGTAGAGGTGTACACTGATCCTTAGAGGTGTACACTGATCCTTACGTGGCTAAGTGATGTGTCAAAAACCCCTTACCTGGACTTGCAACGTGGCACCTGACGTGTTATCTTCCCAATTATGCTATTAGTTAAAACCCCGATTTGGACCTCATTCATTTCTTTCTTACCCCTTCGTGAAAAGTCGAAGCAAGCACCCTCCTTTATATAATCAGCTTGTTCGATTCTTCAACACAATGTCTGCGAGCTCGTCCAATGCAAGAAATCGCCTCCAAGTTGCTCGTGTGTTTGTTAAAGACGATGTTAACAACTATGAAAAGCGATGTTACTGCTAAGGAACGGACATGTTGGAAGCTCACTAACCCCGGAAGACGTTTTTGGAACTACAACAACAAATTGGTAAGCTTCGATCTAGTTTGATTTGTTAATGCAAGACTTTTTAGGGCTTCACTATCAACAACCCAATACATTACGAAAAAAACTCTAAAAGTAATTTTGATTATCTTGGGTTGTTTTCGTGATTTCGTTTCTAAAAATACATGTACGATCGCGATTGTTTAAATGGTGTTGTAGTGTTTATCATTTTTTATTTCGTGGTATCTTAAATTGCATTTGGTGATTAGTGATTATGTTTTGATGTTTTATTCATGTGGGTTTGATACAGACAAGACTGAGGAAATGTGATTACTTTGAATGGAAAGATGTTGCACTGGAAGATGGTTACTACAAAAACCTCATCTATTCCATGAAGCAGCAGTTGGAATGCAAATAGGATCTTGGTGTCATAAAAAACTTGAGGACTAAGAATGCTGAGTTGGAGTTTCTCCTGAGTAACAAGAATAGTCTAATGGCAAGCATGGAGTAGGGGATGTGTGATTCCAAGAAGATCATACGTATGTACAAGCTGTTGGTAGTTGCTCTAGTTGTTGGGTATGTTTGTTTTGTTTTTAAGTTAGCTAATTAGTGTTGGGATGTGAAGCTTTTGGTGTAGCTGTTAGTGTAAGGTGTATGTATTGGGATGTGAAGGTTTTTTTTGTAGAGTTTATTCGGCAAATAACCAAATTTGGGGGTGTGTTATAACCTTTTGACCATGTAAATTAAATTTTTGAAAAATGACTACAAGATCCGCAGAGGGTGCTCTGTGGATCAATTAAAGCTTCTGAGGATGGATGCACACCTCTGCGAAAATGAGGTGGCATCGCTAAACGACAAATTTTTTTCCGGGGTTTTAAGGATCCGCAAAGGCGTCTCTGCGGATCTTCTATTTGCTCTGCGAATTCTTTATTTCTCTGCGGATCTTCTATTCCTCCTTACTCGAATACAGAAGGAGGCTAGGGCAGTCGATTTGCGGAAGGAAGCTGCGGACGTCGATTCGTGATCAGAACGGACACAAAAATGTCGTGGCGAGCTCGATTCGTGGAGCAACTGCACTCCGATGTGTTATCCGATGGATATAGAACTCAAGTAATATTTCAATTTTTTTTTTCTAATCTTTGTATAAACTCGGAAGTAGAAATTGATTATATGAATTGGAAATTGATAGGTTAAATGTTATATATAAACGTGTATGTTTGTTACGGTGTAAGGACTGGAGTTTGTGAGATAAGAAATCGATTTATCCTATTCTTTTCGTCATGAACAGATCCGCAGAGGTCCTCTGCTCAAGAACAGATCCGCAGAGGAGCCCTCTACGGAACGATGTATGCTTATGCGGAAATGTAGTTTTTTTTTTTTTCGATTTTCTATAATTATTATCTCTTAAAAAGGACCATTTAATATTGAGATCATTTTATGTTGATTATATGTAAATTAATATTAAAATCGATTTCCAATTATTTCTGTAATTTAAAAAAAACATTGAAAATTTTTATAATTATTATTAAAATGGACCATTTATGTAAATTTTATAATATATATGGACCATTTCTGTAAAATTCTGTAATTTTTATAAAAAAGGGACAATTTATTTTGAAATATAATTATTCACGTAGACCATTGTATAAAAAGTTATAGAATAAAAAGATTATTTTTGTTGCATAAAATTGTTAAAAAACAATATATAAGTACAATGCTATAAAAATAAAAGTACAATGCTATTTAAAGTTACTTTTCAATATTTTTTTTTTTAATTTTGGCATATATGTTTAATCTTTTGCAGCATAGATTGCGTGGATGGCCTGCAGAATGTACTTTTAAAGGGGCGTTGGGGACTGTGTTTAAAAAGCACATTACAAAACTAAATAGTAGGCCAGTTGAATTATTCCGAGAGACAGCTTTTGGGATGTTCATTGGTATACCCACCCCGAATGGTGACCCGATGCTTTGTAATTTGATGATGTTGCATGAGGTTCGTGATGTAGAGGTAGCCAGGGCTGGGAAGTTTCGGTTCGAGTTACAAGGCAGGGTTGTTGAATATGGTGAAACGGAATTTTGTTTGTTTAGCGGTTTGAGATTTGGAATGTATGTTGATATAGTAAATACAAAAGTCAGCACAAGTTCAGCATTAAGGAATCGGTTGTTCCCTAATGTGAGAGATGAAGATTTACGGCTGAAAGATTTAGAAGAGTACATAAAAGGGCCAGCATTCTCGACGTGTAGCGATGAGGATGCGGTAATGGTTATGCAAATGATGTTTTTGTTGAGGGGTCTCATAGGACGAGACGGCAATACGTGCATTCCGCCGGCAGTGTATGAGCTAGCCGATAGTCAATATAATTAGAACAAGTATTAAATTTATTATTTATTATTTATTTATAAATACTTGATGATTTATATTAATTATAATGAGTACGACAGGTTTGCATGGGGTACGTATTTGTGGAGGTATAGTGAAACACAATTACGATTATGGTTTGGTAAAATCTATAGATATTTACGAGATAATGAGAGTGTGGGTTACGCGAAGATGATGAAGTATACGGTGACCGGTTTTCAGCTTCCGTTTAAGGTTAGTTTTAGGTGTAATTACTTATATTTTTAAAGTGCTTATAAGTTTGGACAAAACATAATTTTTTGTCGTAATACTATGTATGGATTTTGGAGACATTTCCAGAAGCTTTGAGGTTTGCGCATCACACAGAAGCTGAAATTCCAAGAATGAGGGCATGGAGAATAAAAACACAATTATCTCTCAAGCAGTGTTTACGTATATTAGACGTTTCAGTGGTATAGTTATACATTCCTTATATTAATTATATATAGTTAAAAATTACAACAATTTTATATACTTAAATTTAATTTTTTAATTTTGCAGGAAAATAACATCCCACGTGTTTTTGAACCAACGCCTATTGAGATCCATTTGCTATTCTTTGTGCGTTATGTAAATTGGACTCTAGACAAAGTGCAGTCGCCACCGCAACAATAGAGTCCTCCTATGGAGCGGTCTCCATCACCGCAACAACAGAGTCCTCCTAAGCAGCGGTCTCCATCACCTCACCCGTCTCAGTTTCAAGAAGCAGACTACACCTCAGGCTCTTATTTTCGGGGAGCAAATTACACCTCAGTCTGTTATTTTCAGGAAAAATACCACACAGAAGACAGTAAAATAGACAAGTTATTGGGCGTTGTTACTCAATTGAAAACCACAATCGAGCACTTTGGGAAGAGAATGGATAATTGGGAAAAGAGTAAATTACACGAATGATCCCTATGGTTTGGGGTAATTTGCACGTTTGGTCCCTAACTTATTTTTTTAACTCGGAAGATCCCTACAGTTTGTTTTTGTTACGCGTTTGGTCCCTATCTTACCTAAAAAGACTATTTTTGCCCATGATTTTTAATTTATTTAAATAAGATGGGATAGGTAAGGTAAGGTAAGGTGAGGTGGAAGTGGGGTTGAGAGTGTGTTTATTTAAGTAAATTAAAAAATCAAGGGCAAAATAGTCTTTTTAGGTAAGATAGGGACCAAGCGCGCAACAAAAACAAACAATAGGGATCTTCCGAGTTAAAAAAATAAGTTAGGGACCAAACATGCAAATTACCCCAAACCATAGGGACCATTCGTGTAATTTACTCTTGGGAAAAAGATAAACAATTTGGTGTGAACGATATGGAAAATGTGGATGCGGGGGAAGCATTTTTTCGTGGTTTGGATCCCGAGTCAGGCCATACGTATGTGCAGACGCCACCGCCTGTTGTTGTTGTAGTTAAGGATAACACAGTTACACCGTTAAAAGGGCGGGTAAAAATGAAATCGAAATTTTGTAGGGAACCTTACACACAGGTATAAAATTAAGTAATTTCTATTTATATAGTATATAATCGTTCCAAATTAATTAACATATTTATTTTGTAGGTTCCGTCGACGGAACCATTGAAGAACAGAAAAGGGAAAAAACCGCAGAAGTCCAATAATGTAGAAAAAAGACCATTACTATTGGACGTTTATGCAGATAGTGATGATGAATTTTGGAAATTGTGGGGAAAGAACATGGGAGCGGTATTTTTGGAGCATAAACTTTTAAGAGGTATTGAGATGAATTGAGAATTTTGGTCACGTTTACTTGGTATTGGCTCTGGATGGTTGCTCTCTGAGGTAACACACATCCCTTATTTTATATTACAAAAAGTGTTGGATAATTAATTGTACAAAATGATTTTTTTTTCTAACACGCAGCATTGGTTATCTGGACGCCCTTTCTCAAGGAAATAAATCCGTCGACTGGTAGGTGGACGATTATTAATCCTGAAGGCACGACTTTGGAACCTGGGAAACAACATTATTTGAGGCGTGTAGCAGCCGAGATAGTTGATGGACCACATTGGATGGATATTGATCGGATTAGTATATATATATATATATATCATATAATATTAAATTTTTTTATATATAAATTAAAATATGTATATATCTAATAACTTATCATTTTTTGAACGTTTTTATTCCCATCAACATACCGCACCTGCATTGGTATTTGGCTGATTTGGATCTCCTTACATGGAAAGTGAGCATATATGATTCAACCGAATGGTGTGGTTTCTTTAAAAGATATGCGGGTGACGGTAGTTTCAAATCGTTGGGAGATAGTATATTAAGTGAACTAGACCACATATCATATCTGGCCCATTTTCCCAATAGACAGAAACCTACTAAGGTGGAATTCGTTAAAGCTAAACATGTGTCGCAACAGGAAAAAGTAGAAGAAGGAGAATGAGGAGATTGTGGAGTTTATGTGTGCATGTTCATGGAAATGCTTGCATCGGGTGTACCAGTGGAGACACGTCAGTCACCTAGAGATACGGGATTTAGTTACCGTAATAGGATGGCAGAAATTATTTGGAATAGTAGACTTTGATTATATTATGATTATTGTTTTAAGAATATTTTCTTATGTTTTGATTATGTTATTTGGAATAGTAGACTAGTCGTCCCTAATTCTTACTTTATCTTCAAAACGATATTTTTGCCATTTTGATACTCTTCTTAGTCTTTTTTATCCATTCTTCATGCTCTTTGATTTTATTTTTATTAATCTGCATCCTTTCCTCAGCCTGTTTGCACTCTTCCATTAGCATAAACAATTCCATTCCACTAACCACATAAACTTTCCATTCCAGTTATATGTCGTTGGGACTTTACATTAAGGCTAATTACCAATTGTCATTGGGATTTTTACAAAAGATACAAAATGCAGCACATTACCACTTCAGGCTGACTTTACAAAAGATACAAAAAAACCTCCACATCCCAATACATACACCTTACACTAACAGCTACACCAAAAGCTTCACATTCCAACACTAATTAGCTAACTTAAAAGCAAAACAAAC